TAGTTTCCTATTGCATTTTGAATAAAATGAGCAGTCTCCTAAAACCTACAGGGTGCCCCCATGAGCCATCCTGACCCACCACCTCCCCACTATCTCTTCAGTGAGCCCAACAAATTGGTTTCTTTTCTGAACCTGTTGACTTCTTCCTCCGGTCTCTCCACACATCTCTCTGTTGCCTGGCATAATCTGCTTAGGTCTGTCTCTTCTCACCCTCAGACTCAGATCAAATGTTACTCCTCAATGAAGCTTTCCCTGGAAACTATCTAGAATAGCCCCCAACTCAACCCTGCCCACTTACTCCTTTTGTTTACCTCAAAACATTTGACAAAAGCTACAACTCTTGTTTATTTCCTTGGTTACTGTCCACCATTCTTTGAGAGCTGAGACCAATGGTTAAATTAAGGAATTCCAGAATGAAGACTCTGCAGCCAAACGCGGATTCGGGTCTCAGCTACTTACACGTGCTATAATCTCGGACATATTTCTTAGTTATTTAATAATGACTTAACCTTAGTTTCTGCCTCTCTAAAATGGGGATAATAAAGTGTCTCTGGTGAGGATTAAGTAAATCAATACACATAAATCACTTAGAAAGTCCCTGGCAAGCCATAAGCAATCAATGCATTGTAGCTATTATTATTGTAATTTCTAGGGACTGATTTTCCTCCAGGAGTACTCAGCAATCTGTACACAGGAGAAAGTTCCGAGATATCAAGTATAGCTTTTATAGCTGGACTCAGCCAAGAGGAGGGAGAGAACGGCGAGGCCAGTCAGGGATCAAACAGGATCTAGGATGCGTAGGAAAGAAAGAGAAGCCAGGGTGAAGCTGGTGTAGGGAAGAGAGCACTGAAGAGGGCTAGACTTTAGGGCGAGTCAAAGATGACACTGCGGTAGTTGGGAAATGGGAGCTTAAAGTGGAAGGCTGGTGTTGATGACTACAGAGGCAGTGCTGTTGTAGGTGATGACAGGACAGAGGTCATGGTTGGGAAAGTGCTACTGAGGTGGAACAGAGGATGTTTTGGGAGAAACAGTGAAGAACGAGGAGGCAGCAGTGGGTAATGAAGTCCCTAGGTTGGTAGGAGGACCTGAAAGGACCAGCAAGCTGAGACCATTTCCTGTTGATGATGGTGAGAGGAAATCTCCAAGATCAGGGCTCTTGGGAAGGGAAGGCATGTCCCTGAGCAGAGCCAGGTTTCAGTGGAGGCTGAAGATAGCGAGGAGGCTCAGAGGGAGGCAACAGTGAGGAGACCCGGGGCTTCTGAGACAGGGCCACGAGGGGTGAGGGCTGGAGGGACAGTGTGGTCAGAATGCAGATGGGATCGTGCATAAGCCCATGTGAAAGCCTCATGTGGCCCTCAGCATAAAGGCATAACCCGCTAAGAGGCTGACCTGCTCCACACAGGTCAGTCTCTTCTCATTCCAGCTTCCTGCCAGGCTACTCTCAATCCCACTTGTTCTACTGCAGCTGTTCACCTGACACATTCCCTCAGACGCACAGTCTGACCATATAGTAGCTGCTGAATAAATATTCAATGAATGAAAGATGGATCCACAGAAGCTGGAAGACACTGCCTTTTACTCCGCACCTAGCACCATGAGGGCAGTAAAACCTAGCATCAAATACCAAACTCACTAGTCCCAAACTCTACTGGCATCAGAGCTGCTTAAACCCCAGGTGGTATGGAAGGGTGCTTTGGGATCTGGGAAGAGGTAGATGAAGCCCTACTCCTAGAAACCCTGGCCCAGTGTCAGGAGCTCCTGGGCCTCTCACAGGTTTCTGTACCCAGACTCTACAGGATGGGTTCACCTGCTCCCCTTCCACATGGGCCTATTTCCCTCCCGTCACAGGTCATGGGTACACATGCACCCACCCTCACCTCTCACAGAAGGTGTGCAAGCAGGGCAGAACCTTGGGGCACCGGTACCGATCCAGGCAGATGCTGCACACCAGGAACTGCTTGTCCATCGGCTGTACCTCTGGGCCAGGGCTGTCCTCCCTCTTTGCCATGGTGACCAAAGGTGGCTCCTGCCACTCACACCAGCCTGTGTACAGAGACGGTCAGTAGCTGGGGCCAGCACTCCCTCTTCCCATACAAATTCCACCCCTCCTGTTTCCTGCAGAGAAATATACCCGGTTTTCCTGGCAGGGGAGGGGAGGGCAGAGCAGGGACTGGAAGGAGGTGGGGAGGGAGGGGGCTGCGTGACCTCTGTGCGTGGTACTCGGTTTCAAAGTATAGACTTGGGGTTAGCCTTGACTCCCTTCTCTCTCTCCAGGTATGTGAACTTCCTCAGATAATTCACTAAACATTTCTAAACCCGTTTCCTAATCTGTAATTAGACAAATAATAAGTGGTTGTTTGGGGAACCTGAAATCGCGCACGTTGAACGTATGTGGCAAGGGTGTCCATGTACACCAACACAGCCACTCTTCACCACTACTTCATCTCCAAGAGGCCTTTCTGATGGTGTCCCTCTGCTGGCTCCCCACACCTCCTCTCTCCACCCCAACCCGTGGCCTAGATCCTCCTCCAAGTGCAGTTGCCTGGGAGCGCGCTCTCTTCCACAACTGATCAGCATCAAGGTCAGGACTGCCTCCCCAGAATCTTTTAGTTTTGAGACAGGGTCTTGCTATGCAGTTTCAGCTTACCTTGAACTTACTACGGTAGCCGAGACTGGCCTTGAACTTGAAGCAATCCTGCCTTAACCTCCCTGGGATTACAGTCAGGTGCCACCATGCCTAGGTCCTCCCAAGATTATCCCCTTCCTCCAGCACAAAGCTGCAGGCCATCCAAGGGAAGCATCAGTTCTGCCCTGGCCTCCTAAGGGTGTCCTGCCTCCTCTCTGCACCTTCTAACCCACCCCCCTCCTTGTAACTAGAGTGAATTTTCTAAAACAAAGGTGTTATTAGTAGCTACTCCCTTCAGCACTTCTCCATTATCCAGAAGATAAAGTCCAAAGCCTGACACTAGCCCCGCAAGGCCTAGCTTTGTCTTGACTGTATCTTCCTCTGATCTCACAGCTCATGACTGTGTAATGTCTAATCAGTTCCTAGAAAACTCCACATTCTTCTTTTCTTCTGCTCTGTCACACATGCTGTTCCCTCTGCCTGACACCCTCTTTCCACCCTCTCTGCCTGGGTGTAATGGGGAATATTGGGTGATACATTGTATCAACCTGAGTTTAGAAGTATAACGCAGCAGGGGGCCAGGGGCCTTACTTTGTAAACATCCTCACCCTGGGTGAGAGGAAGGCACAGAGATGGTGTGAGGGCTCCACAGCCGGCAATGGTATCCTGCTTTCAATATAAAGGAGGGAAAGAGGCTCCCTTTCCCCTTTGCTACCCCCTTTTTTGCTCTTGCTGTTTCTGCTGTCTTCTGCCACCTCCCACTGTTGCCCCTGTCATGCCACCCTGCCTTGGAGCAGGCTAACTATGGCTTGACACCTCCACAAACTGTGAGCTACATAAACCTTTCCTACTTTTTTTTTTGTATGTATTTGGTACAGGTTCTCACTACGCAGCTCCGACTTCTAGTGATCCTAGTGTTTTCAGCCTCCCCAGTGCTGATTACAAGACTGACCCACCAGGCCCAGACTCAGGTTGCCCACTCAGTGAGCCCAGGGGTGGGGCCAGTACACAGCACCAAATGCTGGGGATCGAACCCTGGTCCCTGCGCTGGCCTAAGCAGGCACTTAGTCAGGCACTTAGTCTGCTGAGCTGTATCACTGGCTCTCCTTCTTTAATTTTGTGTGTTAGGTATTTTTTCTCAGCCATCAGAGAGAAGTAACCAAGACACTGGTTTATGTTCACTTGGTGCCTGCTTTTCTTTCCTATAAATGGCACTTTCTGTAGAAGGACTCCCTTGCTTTTCCAAAGCCTGGGTTAGGTGGTCTGTATGTCCCTTAACACCCTGGGATTAGGGGCCGGGGAGATGGCTCAGTGGAATAAGCACTTGCCTGGCAAGGGCCTGAGTTCAATCCCCCGTTCCACCAAAAAAAAAAAAAAAACCTGGGATTATCCATTATCCCACTTTTTTTTTTGTTTGTTTGTTTGTTATTTGCCTGATTCCTCCATTCCAGGCAGTGTTCTTCAGGAAAGGCATTTTATTCTTTTCATTCCTACCACTTAGCATGGAGCCTGACAAAGACTGAGCAATATCCACTAAATAAATCTAGCATTTAATGCAACAAATATTTATTTACTAAGTGTTTACTGCATAAAAACTCTGGGAATATAATGATAAAATAGGTATGACTACTGTCCTTGCTACAGGGAAGTAGAGCAGATAGTTTAAAAGTAACAATACATAATTACAAATTGGTGGCAGGTATAATAAAGAAGGATGCAATGAGAAAGAACACTCTTTTTTGTTTTTGGTACCTGGGATTGAATTTAAGACCTTGCACTTTCAGGCCGGTGCTTAAGCCACTGACCTATCTTGCCCGGCCCTGAGAAACAACACTCTTGACTGGGTCCCTGGGGTAGGGAATCCCCAAGCAGGGCACTTAAGCACAGATTTAGGGGTAAAAGTGGAAAGGGGAAGGATGGGGAACAACACGGAATCTGGGAGAAAAATCATTCTAGACTGAAGAAAAGCATATGCACGTTCTTCGGCAAGGGACTTGTTGAGAGCACGAGTGGACCATGCGGTTGAAGCAAGATGAATAAAAGCAGTAAGTGAGTTTGGGAAATAAGCAGAGACGAGAGTATGAGGGACCTTGTAGAGCATGTTAAGATGTGCTTTTATCTTAATGTGGGAGAGGATGATGCCATTTACAAGTAAATACAAATGAATTAGAGAGGCATCCTGGTAGATGGGGCATGGCAGCACACACCTGTAATCCCAACAAGATTATGAATTCAAGCCCAGACAGGGCAACTTAGATTTGGGAAGACTCTGCCTCAAACTTTTAAAAAGGGCTGTGGATTTATCTCAGTGTGGAAAAGAAAGAAGGAAGGGAAGGGAGACAGTGAAGACGGGAGAGAAGGAGTAATCTGCTATGAGAATTAAAGGGGAGAAGGCACAAGGCTGGAATCATTGAGGCTAGTTAGAAACCTGGCACAATTTCTCAGGTGTTGAGTACTAGAATCGCGACAGTACAGGCGGAAAGATGGGCTGCTCTGAGAAACATCCATCCACAAGGCCGAATCAAAAGGACATCATGAGGTAAGGAGAAAGGGGAAAAAGAAATGTCCATAGTGCCTCCCAGGTCTCTCACTTGAGCAAATGACACACCCTGAACAGACTGAAAAGGCTGGGGAGGAGCCCTCTGAGGGCATTCTGCTCTAGGTCTGCTCAGTTTGAGGTGTCTCTTCGATGCCCAGGTAAAGCTGTCACCTAAGGAACAGAATGCAGGAGCTGAAGGGCGCTGGGCTGGTTATTGACTTGGAATCACGGTCATAGTAACAGCACCTACAGCAGCGAGTGGACAAGACCTTCAGACAGAGTGCAGAGTGCTAAGAGGTGTTAGGTTTTTCCGTGGCAGAGAAGCAGAAATAAAAGAGAGGGAGGGAAAGGCCTTTATTGTCAGTGAGGAGGACAAGAAGAAGACAAGGGCAGGGAGATGGGGAGATCCTCTGCCCTGAGACAGGAAGGCTGAAACTTTATGGACTTTTTTTAGGGGCAGAGTGTGAGGGGCAGGTTCAGTGACACCTAAGGAGCTGAATGGGGACTTCCTTGTGTGCATGGGAAAGGTATCCAGGACTGGGGTGGGGAAGGAGGAAGAAGTGGTCACTGGGAAGACAAGCTGTTGTTTTGGAGATTCAGCCATGCTGAAACAGGGCCATGATAATTTAGCAGTTTGTAATCAGGCTGGAACCTATCAAGAGGGCTAGCACAAAGGAGCTGAGCCTACAAAGGCGTTTGAGGAGAACTCAGAGAACTGGGAGGGCAGAGAGTGCAGAACCCATGTGGTCAGGGGAGAGAACATTCAAGGAAAAAAAGGAGCTGGATGAGGTGATGCACTCCGGGAGGCTGAGGCAGGAGGATCACTTCAAGTGCAAGGCCAGCCTGGGATATACTGTGAGTTCAAGATCCTGTCTCAGAAAACACCACAAAAAGAAAGTGGAATAAGATAAAGGACTGAGGAATGTTCTCCAGATTTGGCTGTGGTCGAGTGGCAGGAGCAAAAGCCAGATCAGAATGACTGAGGAATGAATGGGAGATAAAGTGAACACAGTGGAAAGCAAAAAATAACAGGCAATGACTAAGACCAGATCTTCACTGTTGTACCCAATTAGATGCCTTGCAGGCTTCTGTAAAGATAACGAATGAATGAACAAATCTACCAATCACTTCAGGGGCTAGTCCGGGTTCTGGAAAGGAAGAGAAGCCAAGTTGCATGTGCTTTCCTTTGTATGTGGATGGATATGTGTAAGGAGGCCACGCCCAGAACATCTTCTCCTAGTGGGGCACTGCGCTAAGGACCCCAGATGTTAACAGGTTCTGGGTCTGGAGATTTAATACCAGACAACACAGCAGGAGAAAGGGCAGATTAGCTGACAAGGTCAGAGGCAGACTGAGGCTTGTCTGGGGAAGAAAGCTCAGGCGTGGTCTGCTGGGCCCTGCTGGGCAGCTGGATGTCAGGCTCCGCCTCTGTCCAAGTCCCTGAGCCTCTCCCAGCCTGTCACACAGAGGCGGGGACAGGGCTATGTCCAGGGACCTTCAGCCCCTCCCTCCTTTCCCCTTCCTGCTTCAGTTCCCCACCCAGACTAACTGGGCATACAGCAGCAAGGCCTGAATCTGAGCTTCCCTTCCTCTTCCTTGGGCCCACTTCATCCATTCATTCCACTGTGCTCTAGAGAGCTGCCCTGCATAGGCAGTGGTTCATGTGAACTATTTATCACAAGGATCTTAAGACTTAAGGGCTGGATTTCACCCGCCTTGGGCTGCCCTCTGATGCCCCTGCATGCCTCATCCCACCCATCCTTTAGAGTTCAGTTCCAAAGGCACCTCATTCCCTCATTCAGCATTCACTAAACACTGCTGCTGGGGATACAAAGATAATTCATCACAGTTCAGCCTTCACGGATTCCACAATCTATTAATAAATAGGTTACTGCAATGCACTGTGGTGAGGACCACAATGGTGAGGCATACATGGCTCTAGGAGCACAAAGAAAGTTATCCAACTTAAATCTAGAGCAGGGGTGGGCCCAGAGGGGTGGTGGGCCCACAGTGGACAGGAGTTCTCCTAAAGAAAGTTACATTCCAGCTGAGAACTACAGGATGAGTTAAGTTGAGAGTGCCGTCAGCCTCAGGACATTGCATTACACACTGTGACAAAGAGGGCAAACAGATGCGACACAGAGATAAGCAGGTGCTACAACATGCAATGTGTTGTTGGCCTTATTCTGGGGTTCAGGTTTTACCCCTTCCTGGTAGGGAATTAAGCTTTATTTAAGGAGCAAATGAAAAGTTTGGTGGTGGAGAGGAAAAGGAGTTTAAGCACTGATGTCCAAAGCATATGTGCTACTGTTACGTTGTCAATAGCAGGTCACGTAGACAGGACTATCATGGCTCTCCTCATGACAGCCCTCCCCGTGTCCTCCAGCGTGTACTTTTATCTTGCTTTCCTAGGCTCATTCTGAAAAGCCAGCATCTCTCCACTTTCAGTTTTTATCAAATAAACTTTACTATCATAAAAAAAAAAAAGAGTAGAAGATTAAGAGATTGCCTCAATGAGTAGCAAATGGAGGATAAAATGCCTTTCATAGGGCTGGCGAGATAGCTCAATGGAATAAGCACCTGCTTAGGCAAGCGCAGGGACTGGGATTCGATCCCAGGACCACATGCTGTGCTCTGCAGGCCACTGAGTCTGGGCCTGGTGGTGCATGCTTGCAATCCCAGTGCTGGGGAGGCTGAAAACAGGAGGATTGCCATGAGTCAGAGCTGCCAATCTGGATGGTGAGACCCTGTACCAAATACATTTTTTTTTTAAAAAATGCCTTTCATAGGGAGGAATCAACAGAACTTGATAACTGCTTAGTTTTATATAGTCAGAGAAGGAATTAGAGATGGTTCCTAGTTTTCTAGCTTAGAAACTGGTATAAAGGACAATGTGGGTGGGTGAGTGATAGGTTTTATGGTTTTGTTTTTGTTTTTTTTTTTTTTTGGTTTTTTTGTTTTTGTTTTTGTTTTTTTGCAGAACCAGGGATTGAACTCAGGCCCTTGTGCTTGCCGGGGAAGCACTTACACCACTGGGCCATCTCCCCGGCCCCAGGTTTTATGTTTAACACAATGAATGCAAGATGCCTAGAACACACAGTTGCAGTAGGCAGGTCCAACAGGCAGTTGGAAAGGAAGACTCAAGCTTAGGAAGGAGGTCTGGCCTGGAGACATGATTTGGATGTCTCTGATGTACAGATGGCTCCTAAGCCACAGAAATGGGTGACATCCACCAGGGAAAGTGAAAAGGGGTTGCCTACGACTGAGCCCAAATAATGTCAACATTTAAGATACAGATCCAGCAGGAAAATGTATATTGAGAAGGTATGGGCAAAGGGCTGAAAAAAGAAAAAGAGTTGTCCTTCAGGCCAAAGAAGAAGAGTTTCAAGAACAAGGTAAAAATTGTGAAGAAGCTGTCTTTAATCCAGGAGCTGAAGAAAAAGAAGTCAGATCCAAGGACATAAAGATGAGGTTGACTTTGAACACAAAAAGAAAACTAGTGCTAACTCCACTAGATTCTTGACATCTACCCCTGCCACAGAAAAGGTCTCTAAAATTCTCCAAATTCTCAAACAGTATCTAATTTCCCACGCAGCTTCACCTTACACTTTCACAAGACTCCCAGGATAACGTGGCGGTGACCGAGGCATTTTTAAAAGTGTATCTGGGAGGTCAGCTGGGCTCACTTGCTAGGGTGACTCACTCCTACTCACTAGCCTCCAGGTGTATTTGACCATTTCAACTCTCAGCAACATAACAAATGACTACAGGCTATAGTCTTTAGGCTTCCTCTGGAACAAAAGAAGCACTTGATGAGATCAAGTCTTCAAATCTAAGGAACACTTTCAGTAAGTCTGGTAGGAAAGGAACGCGATGAAATTCAAAGTACCAATCTCCCCCACTACTGCTTGACTGAGAGAATGAACCATTCCATCAAACTTCCTTGGACATACTCTGAGCTAGGTCCTTCAGTTGGGAACTGGAGACACAAAACTGAATGAAATATGCTTCCTGTCATTTTTTAAGTTCTTAGACTAGCATGGGAAACAGAGGTATAAACACATTAAGTACAACATAAGAAGTACCAGGACATTAACATGTTCAAACCTATGGTAGGAAGTATCTAACCTGGTGCAAAATAAAGAAAGCTTCCAAAAGGAGGGATATTTCAACTGGTTCTTGAGGAAAAAACGTGAGATAAGTGTGTACACTGGAAAAACAATATATAAATGAACATAACCATGAAACTTAACAAACAGACTAGTCATGCAAGAGAGCAAGATTCCTAAGGGCGAAGGTTACAGTTGATGCTTACATGAGCTGCTCCGTGTGGGTTTTCTGCTTGGCTCTTGGGTCACTCCTCCAGTGCACATTCCTTAAATATTTAGCTCTATGGTTTTGTTTTAGAATCTCCTCTCCTCTCACTTCTCATACTTTGCCTGAGCAATCTCATTTCCCATGGTTTCAGTTACCATCCAATTGCCGATAAGTCCCAAAGTCTTATCTCCTGTGCTTAAGGATTCTCTTACCCCAGACCTGTACATCTGCCTGCCTCTTGGGCATCTCCATCTGGAGGATGCACAGCGTCTAGTTCAAAACTGAATTCACGTTCCAAACTCCCTCTTCCTGCTGTTTCTCATTGCCATAAAAGGCACCACCATTCACCATAGCCATTACCTGCCAGAACCCTGGTATTCTTCACTTTTGATTTTTCTTTCACCTTTCAGATACAAGCTGTGACTATGTCCTTGATGCTGTCTCTAAAATGTGCATAGGCTTAAAAAGTCAGGAAATTTAGGTTCTTAATCTGACCGCCACTATTCATTAACACAAGACTCTGGGCAAGTTCCTACCTTATGCTTTACTTGTAAATTGGGGGTGTTGAGGTCTTTTTGTTGTCAAAATCTGAGAAGTTTGAGGCTCCCTGTCAAGCCAAGGGTTCCACTTACAGACTAATTGGTGTCTATGATTAAATCCCACTCCACACTACATTGATTTTTTTTTTTTTATATCTAGCTTCTTCCACAAGGCTAGATATGTTAGAGGGTAGTCACAGTTGCCCTTCTCTTCCAAAATAAATGTTTGCCAAGTTTAAGTCACTCATGACATTCCCTCTCAACACCCTCTGCACCGGCCATATGGTTTTGCTTTTCTGAACAGACTGCACTACCCCAACTATGGCCCCTTTGCTTGAGTTCAGCAAGAATATCACTGTCCCCTACGCAGCTAAGGCAATATATGGATGGCACAGAGAAGGTACTCAGTGCATGCTGGTGACAGGAGAGCCATATTTACATCTCTGCATTTCCCACTCATTAGATAGAGGCAAAAATCAAAGAAAATAATAAAGTTCCAAGGAGAAGACCCTCAGCTTAACATAAAGACACTTTCCCACAGAAGAAGAAGGTAAGTGCTCAGTCACTGGAAGCATGTAAGCCAAGAGAGGCAGGGCACCTGTCAGGCCTGCAGCTCTGACTCCAGCTCTGCAGCACACCAGAACCTTGCTTAGAAGATGAATGGGCCTTGGGAAGCTGGATGAAATGGTGAAGAAGACTCTGCAGCCCCTTCCCCTGAAAACCCAAATCTATCCTGGGTTTCTGAGGTCCACATCAGATGCCCACCCTAAGAATGTTCCCAGGGCCTGCCCTTAGTTGGACTGACCTCCCTGGAGTGCAGCCTGCCCTTCCAACCTGCAACCATCTGTCCCCACAGGTTTGCAGCCCAGGATATGAAGTCAAGTCCAGAAGGGAGGAGGTCAGTATCAGGGAGGGGCCTAGGGTCCTTTAGGTGGGGCCCTGGTTGTAGGAGTGCTGGAGGGGTCCTTTGCTATAAGGAGTCTCCACATGAAGCTTCCTGTCCAGAGCAGAGCCAGGAAGGAAAGGGTGTCCTCCAACCTGGCTGGTGGGCCTCTGGGTGCCCACGGAGGGTGGAGGAGGGAGCAAAGGGGAGAAAGGAGCCCTTCAGACAAGCAGGGCCACGAGATTCCAGAGTCCCACTCAGCAACCGCACCCACCCTTCCAGCCCCTCGGCCGCAGCATTCGGCACCCTCTGCCAACATGCGCCGGATCCCGAACCCCGCGCTCTAAAAGGAGCCCTCAGCCATCCACCCGCGCCTCCCCCCAGCAAACACGGACCTCACGTGAGCAGCCACAGCCCGAAGAATCCCCCCGCTGCTCTCACGGAGGGGACACGCCTCACGTGGACACAGACGGGAGCAGCTTTTGAAAAGCATTCACGCACTCACCCACAGACGCTTGGACAGACACACTGCCGCCTGGACCCGCACCCGCACCCGGACCCGGACGCGGGCACACAGGCAGACCGAACGCACCCGTGGGGCCCGCCCGTCGCACTCACGGCGCTGGAGCAGGATGGAAGGCAAGGCCGGGGCTGCGGCCACTTGGAGGGGCCCGCCGCGCTGCCCCCGCTGCCAGCGCCCGTCCGCCCGGCCCTGCCCGCGGC